GGGGGGGGTTGGGCTTATGTTATGGGGATTTAAGACTTGCGGTTTGGTTTTCGAAATGCAGGGGGTGTTAGGTGTTGCATGGTGTTCCATTCTTGTTTCCCGATGCATGGAACTCCGGGCATCAAGCCGTTTGGAGCTCCAGAGTACTTACCCATAGGCCCTAAAGTAGTTCCTTTTTGGGGTTCATATCTAGAATCCTATAAGGTAACCCCAACAACGAACTACTATGGGGCCTATGGGTAGAAGGATGAGCGTTTTGAGAAATGGAGGCCTCAACGATTTTTCCGCTTGGAACGAGCTGTTCGGGAGTTCGTAAATGCAAAGGACTACGAAGGTAATGAAGCTGATAATATGCTTGGTGGTAGCAGCTGCAACAATCCACAAACATGTGAGAATCGGAATTTCAGGACAGTCAGGCATCAATCCAGCATCAACTGCGATTGCTGCTGCTACTGCTGCTACCACTACCTATCCTACTTCTGCTAGGACGACAACGACTACTACCACGACTACTCCTGCCGCGCTGCCAGTGCTGCCACTACTAGTGACTAATGCACGACGACCGCACCTGCTGCTATTCCTACTTCTCCTGCCTAGCTGCTGTTGCTCTCGGCCACCACTAACCCGACAACGACCGGGACGACGACTGTCAAGAGTATGAGCGTCGCAAGCACCACATGTCAGATGAGGCTCTTCATGTTTGATGCCCCTTCGGGGCAAAATGCCAGTAAAAGGGAAGAGCCGGAGAGACAAACATGCGCAGAACACACGAGACACCTAAGGCAATGCCCGAACACCAGCTGCAGTTTTGACTCGCGGCTAAACAGCACCGGCATTTCAAAAGGTGCTGACTTTCACCCTGTCCCGTGAGGCTCCGAGCTCACCCACCCCTGCGGGTCCTACAAGGCAGACTACCGCTTGAGGTTTCTGTTGGTTTAAACGGGCCCGAGCTAACCCTAAACCCCAGCCTAAACCCTCAGAATTTTAGAATTACATCCTCTGGGCCTACGGGGAGGTTGAGGGTTAAGGTTTAGGGTTTGGGGTTATTCCTAAGCCTCGGAACTCGAAGACGGTTCGTTGCATCAGAGTATGAAGCCCCATGTGATGCTTTACCTAAGAGGTATGGCGCTCGCTGGGTGCCTGCAGGTTTATGGGCAGTCATAGGTGAACTTACAAGTAGCTTGATTTGGGATAGAAGTGGAGATACTTATTTGTTACTCATGCCTTACTTCTTATCATGCTTACCACTTACGAAGTCCTCCGATCCTCCACCCAGGGGGTTGTTCTGAAGGCTCAAACGGACCTTGCATGGTATCGAAATAACACAGTATCCGAATAGGTGACAGATATTAGATCGTTTTTTGTCGTGTTTCTATGTGGGACAGGTCGTCTTTATTTAAGCCCGTGTTCAGAATCCTAATCTTGTGGCCTGCCCTTTCTATTGCTTCGCATGGCTGATCCTACCGTGGTGGAAAGGCTGACCTTTCGGGCGGGTGCTAGGAAGCTCGGACACTAGGATGAGGCTCGACATTCCGCTCATAGCATCGGGCTTAGGGGCTTACGGATTAAAGGGTGCGATGCTCCCTAAACCCAAACCCTAAACCCTAAACCGTTAAAAAGCAGTGGAGGATGCCAAATGGAATTTACGAAAGGCTCGTGAAAATGATCTCGGTTTTGAGTGGTAGCCGACTGCGATCCCTCAATCCTCAAGGCTAGACCCGCAACCTTACGCCCGAAATTCCACGATCCTTAAACCACTGCGAGACCTCGTAAAAACCCGACACCCTTAATAACTAAGCCCTGAACCCCTGAACCCCTGAACCCCTGCACCCTAAACCCTAAACCCTCAACCCTAAACCCTTAACCCTAAACCCTAAACCCCGAAGCCACGCCTTGGAAGGCCTCCGCTAGCAGAGCCGAGCGCCCACCTTCCCAGGATGGAGGCCGGGGGTCTCATGCAGCTCTTTTTGGGACCGGGACCCTGGGTCTCAATGGTTTCAATAAGGTTTTGGGGTATATTATATTATAATTATACTAAGGAGCCCGCTTTTTTGGGACCGGGACCCGGTTTCGTAGGGTTATAGGGCCTCAGTAGTTAGGAAAGGGGATTGGGGTATATTATACTATAATTATAATAGGTTTTTGGGACCGGGACCCTGGGTTTAGTAGGGTTCTAGGGCCTCAGTCGTTAGAACAAGGTTTTGGGGTAGATTATACTATAGTTATAATAAGGAACCCCCAAAATAGTATAGGTAATTTGTATTAGGCCCCCGTGGTAGGGTTTGGGGCTTCTGTTTGGGTTTCTGTGGTTAGGGTCTATAGGGTTCAGGATGTAGGGTTTAGGGTACACCTTTCAAGGCAGGAATAAGTTCAGGTCCTTGAGTTCAATCAGTGGCCGGTCGGATGAACGAAGCGCCGTCACGCCATGAGATCTGAGACATCATGCAACAAAAGCCCCAGCAGACCGGAGCCCAAACCCTTCCACTGTCTTCCACACTACTGTACCTCAAAACCTCCCCTATAGTTACCCTAAGCCCTACTTCCCAAAACTTGCGGCCAAACCTCGACTCCCAACCCTTAAACTGTGAGCTCTCATATACCGATGGCTTCACGATGTACCAGGAACCTCTCGTTCACCTCAGCTGCCCCAAGGCCGGTCAATACTTCCCAGAAAAGCTTGTCAGAAACCAGGGCTGTTCATTACACCCAAAACATTCATAGACCAAACCTGACAGCTGAGGATTACAAGCTCTAATGTCCCATATTCAGCAGAATTCAGCATTGTGATCCTAAAGATCGGCGTTCAGCACGATGGTTGGTGACGATTCACTGTGCTTACGAGCACAGGGTCAGCGTCGTGGCCACCTGCACTTAAATCACCTGAATGTGCGAATGTGTTCGATGGTTCCTTCCACATCAGCATGTTCGAGACTTGCGCCGACTCCGCTGCAGGCCCCCAAGTATAAACCCTAAACTTAGGTACACAAAAGAACCCTACACTCGAAGCCCCCAAACCTATTTGGGCCTCTCCGAGATCCCGGCGCCCTCTACGCCGCTCCCAAGCAACGTGCTGCCCGGGGCTACCATGGCGCCCGCTGCGGGAGGCGCCGAAGTCTCGATCTCGGAATGTTCGGGATTGAGGCCTGTCTTTGGGGCTCAAGGGTTTCAAGGTTTTGCTTTTGGTTTCAATGCTTTGGGCTTCGGGATCGAACGATTTTTGACTCAAGGTTTGCAAATGTTTCGGGATACTTGAGGGGCCTGGAGTCGACTGTGCAAGGCCAACCCGTTCCGACCCCAGCCCCAAGAAGATTTCAAACATGGCGCAACTGATTAGGTGCAGAATAAGCGTCATGGTATATGTGGTGGCCTTAGCATCATTATTCCATGAACAAGCCAACGATGAAAGTCGCCGGCATCCTTCCTTCTCCTCGTCAACCTCGAAGGGCAGTAACTGCAGCAGCTGCGCAGTAGTCGTAGTGGTGGCCGTGGTCGTTGTATAACCTCCGACACTAAGCCTTAAGCCCTACATGCTAGCACCTGAACCCCAAACCCCTGTATCCTCAGACCCTGACGACTAATATAGGGGCCTAAATAATTACCGATACTATTTTGGGGGTTCCTTATTATAAGTATAGTATAATGGGCCCCAAAACCCTATTCGAATTAATTTAAGGCCCCTATATTCCTCGTAACCATTCGAAACAAAACCCTTCGTTGCAGGCATCAGCGCGAGGTCTGGGGTCTCCGGGTCTCCCATCCATCTCGAGGACCCGGTGGGGAGGAGGCTTTGGGGCTCCGCCCACAAGGGCAGGGGTTTAGGGTTCTGGGAGAGTTTCAGTGAGGTAATGTCAGAGGGGTTTCGAGGTTTGAGGAGATTCAGAAGTAGGACCCTGGAGAGTAGGCTTGGGATTTCGGACTCGGGTTCAAGTGTCTTCGGGATATGAGAGCTGCACCAGCTGATTTCCGAGACAGGCAATTACAACACACAGACAACTATCCCTGTAGCCCAACCTCGCAGGATTTGGGACTACACCTCTGACCTTAAGTGGTTCCTGAGCATCCCAGCCCCTTCAAATACATGTGGGACTTGCGCCTGAGGAGCCCATTGGGCTGTCAAGGTTTCGATGGGGTGTTCTATAAATGGCGTGTATACACTGTTTTTTGTACTTTGCAATCGGGGTTTTGCAGGGCTGTGGGATCCCACTATCAAGTTGTGTTTCCGTGGAGTCGACGCAAAACAAAGGGTCCCTTGATGCAAATGCGGGGATCCCTATGTTTAGGTGGTTTGTTGTGATCATTTTACCCAAGAAGGAGTCCGATCATTGTTATTTGTTGCTACCAGTAGTGTAACTCATTTGTGTTATCATTACTCTTTTCTTAGTTTGTTTCAGTTCGGTAGCCATTGTGGCACAATTCTACTTTGCTTATTCCCATCTATTGAATCTGTGGTTCTTGATTGCTATGACTAAGGTTATTAGGATCATTATGATTCAGATCACTAGTGTTGTTATCACTCCCCTTCTGACTTCTGACTTATCATGAATATTAGCAGTGTTCTTATGGTATTTTTAAACCAGGCAGTGTTTAACCTAGAGAAACTTCCGTGTAATGAAGGCCACTAAGCCAGGTGATCCTGGGATCTTTGGGTAACTGAAGTGCTCAATGTCCAATGAGTTCCTGCAGCAGCGTTGAGGGAAGAATTGAATCCTACTATGCTTAGGTTGAGAAGAAGTTCTGCGGTTTGCATGCTTTTGGTCTTAGAGTCTAGGGACTGGGGACTTTGAACTTGCCCTAAAACGGGAGGACCTAAACCCTGTTTGTTTATGGCCGAACCCCCGAGATCCTGAACCCTAAGCCCTCAAAGTCTTAAACCCTGAAAACTTAACGCCCCAATCCTGAATCCGAACCCCAAACCCCAAACGAAGTTGCTTGCGATGCTAGAAGTCAAGCTTCGGGTGACCACAAGAATCTGTAAAACAAGATACCACCCTCAGTCGCACAGGAGCGATCCACGCAGCTAGCTGGGATCCAAGTGTGCATTTTTGTTTCTAGTTTAATTTCGAGCACAACTGTTCTTCTATATTAGGTTTATGAGGCTTTTAGGGTAGCGGCCTCAATCAAACGCACATGGCCTACGTGTACTGCCATCGTGAAAGTAGGTTGCGAAAACCAGAATGGTGTTGTTGGATGATACAACTACTGTGCAGATGGGCCACATTTGGGCTTCTCAAACATAACGTTGCTGTTGGCTTGAGGGTAAGGCTCAATATGCTTCGATGTTTAGGGGAATCCCTTCACCCTTAGCTCGAACTCCTGAGATCCTGTCACCCTAAAACCTCATGCATAGTTTTTTTTCTGACCTCGGAGCTTTTCGCTGCAGCAGCAGGTTCCAGGTCTTCAGTTGGAGATTTGTGTTTAGGTTTAGTCCAGGCCCCTAGCTGGACCTGCCTCTTCGCAGCTGCAACTTCGAAGTCATTTGACTTGCCGTTCGTTGAAACTGGCTGGACTACGTTGCTTCGAACAAGGGTCTGCAACATGACGGAGTGAATGCTCCTACATTGCTTCTCCAGATGCAGCACCTTTGCTGTGAAGTTTGCAGCTTTGGGTTGGCACTGCCACCTCGTCGCGCACAGGTGTCTGCAAGTATCTAGGTTCCGTCCTTGGCATCGACACCATGGGCGACGTGACTACAGATCTCGCACACCGCATAGGCTTTCCCACGGACATGGAACTCACGACGTCTGTCGACAAGCAATGCCTATATTAAGAGGCTGCCATGCTTGCCTGCGCTTGATGCGATGTCATTGAGAGCGCCAGCGCCCTCTTATTACGCGGCTGGCGCAAGCCTGAAACATGGCAAAGAAGTGCACAACCGAGAGTCTAAGTCTAAACCTTAGCTTACCAACTACCGCAAGAACGCTCCAGGATTGATGCGGTGCTGTACTTTGTGGGGTTCTGGATACCTATATCTTCAAGCAAAAAAGTGTTTGTACCAGGTTTCCTTACCATTTCAAGTGCCATAGAATGCAAGCTCAGCTTTTCTTGCTCTTGGACACTTGACCCGAAGGGTCCAAAGTATGTCCCTACATGGGAGGTGCTAATGCTGAACTTAGAAGCCCTGCTGCTTGCTGTGTAATTCAGGGGCCTCAATAGAAGAATGCCAATATTATAACATATTCCGCTGGATTCCTTAATAATATATTTGTACTAGAATTACTACAACATACCCCGATACCCCATTCTAATCGTCGGGAAGTTAGAAGAAACAGGTTCCCTTGGGCGAGACGCGAAAAGTCGAGGAGTTGCTGGCCGATGACAGGCCTTGACAGTTTCGACAGGATATGTTTGGGACTCATCCGGGGGCAACGAATAACACAAACCCCTCTGTGCTTTGTCAATGGTTGCATGTTAGATGTTTGTTTTTTTACACCTGACTCCTGAAAGGATGGTTTGGTATTCCTAGGTCGGGTTCGGGTGGCTTTGGTTTGGTTCTACAGATGGGTGGATGGAAGTGCGAGTTTGAGCTTCAACGATCAATCCTAAACTCGGCACCCCCGGAACGCATAATGCAAGTACTGCAGGGATTTAAATATGCAGTGACAGTGAGAACCGCATCCTAAGTGTCAAGGCCCTTAGACTACCTAAGTCGGACACCCTGGAATTGTTGGGGATCCCAGAGCAAAACCTAGCGTTGCTGGGCGTTTGAATAATTAGGAATCCTATTCCCTAGTGCCCCGGTGCTTCAGACAAACTTTATAGTCCAGGATACCCCAAAACTCTTTCATTTTCATGATGAAGGCCCTGCCAGTAGTCCACTTTTAAGTATCATCTGTTGTGCATTCTGGCTATGCCTTGCCGTCCAAAGGTTGACTGTGTTGAGGGTCTAGTACAGAAGCTATGAAGGGTTCAGGGCAGCCGGTTTAGTTCTTGGGTACCCTAGAACTCAGAAAGCTTAAGCAGAAGTGCTGAGGCGGAATTCCGAGAGGCCCCACCACCTGACAATACTAAATAAAGCTCAGCCCATGAAGGTTGCTATAGATTTCGGAACAATTTGTAAAATATTCCCCCTACAGCCCAGAAAATGAGCGCAAAGCCCATTCCAAGTATTACGGACCCCACCTTAGAGAGGGCTCGGTGAGGTTCCTGGACTCTTTGGCCGGGAAGTTGGCGAACCGCCTGGGTGGCATGGGCCTGCAGGCGCAGGGTTCAAACGGCATAACTAACTACCTACATTATTTTGAGGGTTCCTTATCATAATTATAGTATAATGGGCAAACCCTATTCCAATTATTAAGGCCCCTATATTATAGTACCCTTATAGTAGCCCTGATAGTAACCCTTTAAAGGAACCCTATTCTAATTATGAAAGGCCCCTGCATTTTTAAGGATCTCTGGGGATTTTAGGGTATTGAGTGTTCAGGGGTTCAGGGTCACAAGCTCGGGGCCGAGGCTTTGGACCTCTAGGATGTAGGATTTGTTTGAAGCGGTTGAGGGCCTAGGGTTTAGGGCTTAGGGATTAGGGTTTAGGGATTATAGG